AAAGGCCGTTTCCGGCCATCTGGGGGGTTTGTAAAACCAAAAATTTTCTTGTACGCTCCGCACCAACCGATGGTGGCGCTCCGCTCAGATAGTCGTGCCTACAACTTTGAAAATCCTGGCTACGCCCCTGTAAGTGCCCAGTGTATCTTGCCACCAGGAACAATCTGTACATGGAGCTTGTAGCAGCACCACCATCCAGCACGTATAGACATGTCACCCCTGTATACACCATCACAATGGTGTTTCTTTGGTACAACTCCAGCATGAAGATTCTCCAGCTTAACACCAGAGCGTTATCGACCTTCAAACGCTACATAGAGGACTACGCAGAAACAACCAGATTTGATGTAATCTGTCTTTCGAGACGTGGAATAAGGATGATACCCCGAAAATAAAGAACTACACTCATTATTGGAAGAACAGGAAACACAACAACAAAGGCGGTGTGGCTATTCTGACAAACAAAGGAGTGAAAGTGGTACGCAGGAAAGACCTAGAGACAGATCTCCTCGAGGCGATATGGACAGAGACGTGCATCGGTAACCAGAGAACGCTGGTAGCATCGATATACATACCACCTGGCCATAAAGAAGATTTTTCAGTTCTTGAAAGTGTCGTCGACAAAATTCCCACCTCCACCGCAATCGTGCTTACTCGTGATTTCAACGCGAGGAGTGATCAGTGGGATACAGGACAGAAAGTAGGTATAGCATGGTCCCTGGGCAGGCAGCTAGAACTACTTGCAGTACAACATGGATTCCACATACTCAGCGATGGAACCCCCACACGTATTTTCGGTGGATTTAGTAGCGCCCCAGATGTCTCGCTTAGTTGAGGGGTCACATGTCCAGTAAGATGGCAAGTTAACCACAACATAGTGGTCAGATCGGATCACTCCCCGATTGTATTGTGCTACAACGAGGGATAACCAGCCACTAAATTACGGTGGGACCTTGTAGGGTCAGATTGGGGTAAGTGGAAAATACAAATAGATTAGACAATGGAAACATGGATGTCATCAATCGAGGAAGGAATGACAGCGGAGGAAGCGAGTAGGTCTTTCACTAGTGGCATGTTACCGTGCGCAGAGGACAACATCAAGAGGAAGAAGATCTGTTTACACTCCAAACCTTTTATCACCGATAAGGTGAAAAGACTGTTGACTGAATGCAAAACTGCCAGGAAGAATTACAGAAAAAGAAGAGATACCAAAAACTGGAGACGGACGAAAGCGGCAGTTGCAGCTTTCATGGAAGCATACAAAGAGTCCAAACAAATGTGGATTGATAACATCAGCGAGGAGGTGAAGCTCTCAAAAGGCGATATGTGGAAAAAGGTTAACAAGATGATTAAAGGAAGTAACACCACAGTTGTACAGCCAATACGACTACAGAATGGAGATTACACCTTCAATGACCAAGAAATCTCAGACCGACTAAGAGACGTCCACATCCTA